AACTCCAACCTGTAGCAAGTCACTAGCGAGCATCAGATTAACTTTCTATAGTTTTTGGTTTGTAAGGATTAGTTATGTTTTACGAGTTGATCACGGATTGATATCAGTTAGAGAACCATTGAAAACCAGGGAGTACTGGACAGCTGCTGTTTCATCCTAGTTTGGGAATCATCGGCAGTACGCACCCACTGGGTTTCGAACCCAGGACCTTCCGGTTACAAGGCAAGCTCGTATACCATTCAGCCACTGGGACCCGATTCAATGGCTCGTGAATTCTAACTTCTACCAATTCGTGAATTAGCGCGACCCCAACCATTGTCGTTGGTGGGACATCCATCCACACACGTGACATCTAATTGGACCTCACTGGTCACGACTTCTCACTAGAACTCAGGAAACTCCAACCTGTAGCAAGTCACTAGCGAGCATCAGATTAACTTTCTATAGTTTTTGGTTTGTAAGGATTAGTTATGTTTTACGAGTTGATCACGGATTGATATCAGTTTATATTTCTTTTTAATTTAGCCTTACATAGTTCCATATTTTATTTCGTTTCTATATACATCTTGATCACAGCTCACTCATTAAATCATTCATGTTATTACTTTACTATTATACACTTATTCGACAACTTCTTTTATGCATTGGCTAGCAGTGACAACTGTATTTTGTGACAACTCATCACTTTTGTCACTATTCTCTCTTATGAAGAAATTGTGCATAAATGTGATTGTACGGGGAAAGAAAATGAGATCATCGAAAGAGCCTCTTCTCTGAACTACGTGTTTTGTTCTCAATAATGTCCGGATACATGTCAGCATAAAGAACAAGATTCGGATTTTCAGCACAAATATGAAGTCAGTCAGTCAGATCTTTTATACTTGTCAAAAAGTTGGCCAGTGTGTCACAAAAAGCCTTTCCAATCAGTAACAGACTTTTATCAACACCTGCCAACTCCACTGGCTCAATATTTAAGATCAAGTGACCAGTCAGAAAGAATTAGCAACAAGAAATTCTGGCTGGGAACAAACCAACAGAGTGAGAGCAGATTACTCAACAAATATGTAGGAGGAAATGGAGATGGATCGGGCATGCACCACTTAGGAGGTCGTCGAATGACTTCCCTTCGCAGGCCATCTATCGAGTGGAATCGGAATGAAAAGCGACTAGCTGGTCATTTGGGAGTGGAGGTCGTGTGGCGAGGAGGGGGAGATTAGAGATTATGGACAATCGTGGAGCTAGTCAGATAGAGAGAACGGTAGAAAATAGAAGAAAGTTGAGATGTATTGTTGAAGTGGTATGTTCCAATCGGAACCCAAAGGAATAATAGTAATGTCTGGATGGATATTATTCATCAATAAATCAGTATCACTTTGATCACTGTTGGACACCAGAGGAGTCTCATTGGGTATTTCATACTAATTTTAGAATTTCCATCAATGTGCACTAACGAAACCCATGACTTTCAGGTTACAAAGTGAGAACATTCTCCATTCATCTACTGGGTTGTAATCTAGTGAACTTACGAATTTTAACTTCCATCAACTCATGATATGGTTCCAAGACAATTCAGTCTCATTGGTGAGGGTTTCTTCTTCACGCCATCAACCAAGTCTTCAAATCAGAACTCTATTTAACACCTGTTATAATTAAAATTTTTTAATAACTAAAATACTACGGTAGATCATGAAATAGTTGAACTTTTTTGGAGTTTGCTATATGATTGGATGAGGGATTTCATCATGAGCTGACATCAGCGAGAGAACCACTGGAAAACCTAGGAGTACTAGACAGCTGTTTCCTCCGTCCTACTTTGGGACTTCTCAGCAGTAGGCAACCACTACCGAGGTTCGAACCTAGAACCTTCTGGTTACAGCACCAGCGACCTCGTAGACCATTGAGCCACTGGGACCCAATCCAATGGTCCTTGAATTCTAACTTCTGCCAGTTCACAACATAGCGCAACCACTTCGCAATGTCTTCTTCAATGGGTTACTGCCTCATCTTCAACCTGCTCTACCCTACTGGTCACGGCTTCCCACTAGAACCCCAGGTTAACTGCCTGATTAGGGCTAGTCACTAGTGAGTATCAGAATAATTTTCAAGTATTGGTTTTGTAGGGATTTAGTTTGATTGTTTGGAGGATTTCTAGGGTCGGATCCTAGTGGCTCAACGGTCTACGAGCTCGCCTTGTAACCAGAAGGTCCTGGGTTCGAACTCCAGTGGGTGCCAATTGCTGAGGATTCCCAAACTAGGACGACAGAAACAGTACTTCCTATTGGTTTTCCAATGGTTCTTCAACTGATGTCAGCTCATGATGAAATCCTCCATCCAATCAAACAAAATCCCTACATGAATCATCTAGGCAGTACACACCTAAATGTCCATTTACTGCAGTTTATTTGAATGAAATATTACCTATTAGATAGTAAGGAAGCATTAAATATTTATTTCTCTCTAGTTTAGGAGTTCCAAGCTGTGCAATCCACTGTTCTTTGGACACTGAGTCTAAGACCATCAGGCTTCAAGGTGAGTAATGTTATCACTTGCTACCTTTAGAATTCTCACCTATTACGCTTTCTTAGTTTAGCAAAGTAAAACAATAACGATCCATGTAATGTGCACGACTGACTTTGATGCGATCCATCAGAAAAACCAGTGTTCTTTACATAAAAAATGGCATTTATTTGCAAGAGAAATAGAGAGAATAATGATACAACACCTTAAACAAGATATTTTTCCATCACGTGACTTAAAAATATCTTCCATTTATAATGCGGAGTATCAGTTTTTAGTTTGCACGAGTTTCTGTCTATTGTATTCATTAAAGTGACTGAAGATGAGTTCTTTATGTGATCCATTAATCTCTCTTATGGAAAAGTTGAACTATCATAGACAAAGTCAAGATATGCCAAATGTTGACCTTCAAAGATCAATCACATATAGATTTCGCTACGGAAGGTCATTCCAAATCGAAATCACGCCTACCTTTATGGATTTGGTGAATGAGTTCCATGAAGATCCAACATTTAATTATTGTGTCAATAACAGACTGAGAGAAGTAATGAAAAATTTTGTGTGTGTGTGTCGGGGGGGGGGGGACAATATGACAGTAAGGCAGTAAAACCTTGGGAAATATATGCTGCTATAGATGCAGTTCATGCTGAGAGAAAAACAGTCGCAAGGGCTGGTGCAGCATTTTACTCAATCTCCAAACCTAAGCTCTGTGTCAAATATCCTTGTAACAACAGAAAACAAAGGCCAGGCAATAGATCGCTTATTGAGAAAACCAAGTGGTATTTATAGATTTTTATGTACATTATTTTCAGTGGAGAAGCAACGTCTTCTGATTGGTTGTTTTTCGTTCTGAAGGTTATTCTGTACTGCTTGTGACCGTTTCTTAGAAAGTTAAACCATGTGTCTGCGAATCCTATTTGTACACGTTAAGTCTACTGTGATTGGTTGGCGGGTTCCTCAAGGTTAAGCTTTGTTATTGTTATATTCATAGCCCCGAATCGGGACGTAACATTGATGTGAATTGTTGTCTACAATTTCGGCTTGCAGCCAGCTCTCACCACATCCTAAGCCTCATACATTGTTGGATATCGCAAAAGCCTGTAAGGGTAGCAGTTGAGACGGAAAATTGTTAGAATTGTAGAGAAATAGCATCATGGAAGTTAGGCAGGATTGCCGCTTGCCTCAGAGGAGTAGGTTTAATCGTTCATAATAGTAAAAATGTCCCCATACATACCAACCAAATGGACGGGACATGACCAACTGCCATCTTTAGGTTATATTCCCTATCCTGTTAACCACTCTGTCAAATTTGTGGATCTAATCACAAGCAACAACACTTATTCAGTCGAAGGATTCTGGGGGAGGTTGAAGCGAAGAGTCAGGAATATCAATGGTCCCCAAAGTACCATGATTTACAGCCACCTAGATGAATACATGTAGCGGATGTGGTGCGATTTAGTTGAAGAAATTAGGAAACATTTTTTTTACAGCACATCAGAGACCGTTATCCAGTTTAATATCAAACTAGGAATGTTTTTATTACATTTTTAAAAATTATTATGCGACTTTTACTGCATCTAAATCCTGATTGTTTGTTCAAGGTTACTGTGATTTTGGTCAAAATAGTTTAACTTCCCCCTTCCGATCTTGTTTTTCAGTCCTCCCTAAAAGTCCTAGATTAAACTAGTATGGGTTCTAGTAAGAGATCTAACAAGTGTTTACTGGAAAAATGCGGATCATAAAAATAAAACAGCCTAACCTTAATCTGAACATCAAACCTAACCCTAATCTTTATCTTAACCTTAACTCTAATCATGACGCTAATCCTAACCTTAATCGTTACCATAATCCTAAACGTATTAATAACGAGCCGTCATTACACTGTCCAGACAGCACTTAAAAACGAGGCAGGGATGTAATTTGCACCTCACTTCATGAACAGTGTTTATAGTGGCACTATAATAATGATGATAGGACTCTATCCAACGGATAATATGCGTTCAAGGACATTGGTGCGTTCTCAAACTCCTGGACTGCAATACTTTTACTTGGTGCTTAATTTTGATGATTTGGAAGACAAAATGATCCTCCATCGATTGTAGTAGGTGGATGTATAGTTCTTCTCACACCTGATTTGAATGAACTCACCGGTTTCGAAGTTCTTTTGCGAAGCAACCCGACTGGATGAACAAAATCACGATTGGAGATGTCAAATCTCAAATGACGTTAGATGATATCTACTCTGTATCATCATATAAAGTAGATGGCTTTGAATTTTCCAGACAAACTATAATTTAAAACATTGACTGTGTCCATGAACATAGTTCTGAACTATTATCATTACCTAGTACAAAAATTTGAACTTATCGACTATGCTAATGAAGGAGAAACTTTTAACAATCTTCGATACTTGAAGTTAATGACTTCTATGGATATTTATAGAAAGTATAGGACTAAACATATAAGAAAAAAAATCCACTTACTCGACCACGTTCACTAATAGCTGTCAGCATAACAATTAAACAAACTTGTTGTTCCCAACACATTTGCCAAAAATCACCATAAGTATTAGGTAATGGACCTTGAGCTGCAATGTAACGTAAATTTACTCCACATTTGGGGTATTCCATCTGTGTATATGATAATGTTAAAGAGAAATCTTTGGTCAAAATGTTGAACAAAATAGATATTTCTATTCATACACAATTATTAAAATAACTTATCGTCTCAAATGTTCCTGTGGTTCAAGGTATATAGAGTGTACAATCAGGCAGATTCATCTACGGATTTGAGAACATTTATCAGCTTGGTTCAGTAAGGGGGAAATCATATGGAAAAAAGCTCGATTCTGTCACACTTAGTCGATACAGGTCAAGGCGTCGACGCCAATATAACTTACAAGGTTATATGACACATTCCGAAGTCATTATCACTCATACTTAGTCTCCGTCTTCTAAATATAGCTGAAGCTATAAAATAAAGTCGACCAGAACTTTGTATTGAAAAAGGACGAGACCAGGCGCTGCTACTACTGTCGCCAAACGTGGACTAAAATTTCCTCTCTTCTCCCAGAGCGCCTATTCCTCCTCTTATCTCCTTTTCTATACTTTGCTTGTTATAATTTAATAATAATGACAGTTATTTATTATAGTTTATATCCTTTATTCTAGCATTCTTTCAGTACTATCAAGTTTTCCATTTATACTATCCAGAATCATTATGAGTGATATTATCTCTTCTCTCAATATATGCCTCCACCTGTTCCATTTCACAAAATGGTTATTTCATGATGAACTTTTCACTGAGGTTCGACTGTCTACTCTTGCACGCATGCTATTTTGTCAGGTAAGTAAGTACCTGACACCCTTTATAAGCTTGGACCGACTTGTCAGTTTTTCTTATACCGCATTCTACGCATCTATTATGACTAATCACCATCATCGTCTCTCATTTCACATTTTGTAATTGAACTCAAACTAGCACGTTTATCACACAAATAATACTCATTTTATCACTCTATAACTAAACTGTTATTCTACGTAAAACTGTATCTCTGCTGCATAACTGGCCATTATTATAAGGATAAATATATTATACTTTTATGATTGTATGAACAGGAAGAGAATTTATTGAAACGAAAATAGTTCGTTCAGTTGACTTTTAATGAATATAGTAGGAAGTTGAATGTCATTGGAATATTTCACATTATTAAATTTTATCGTTAACTGTATTTTAAGGGATACTTTGTCCACCGTAGTTATAATTTAAACGATAAAATTCAGATTTTTAACACCAATATTAGATCACTCCTCCTATATATGGGTCAGAAACTTGACACGCGAGTCACCTGAAGCATTTCCAATAGGCTGCTGATGACTCTCATCAAGACCTGTCTTCTCTGTCTCCATACTTAAGATCAGATAGCTACCCAGAAAGAATTATTATTATTATTCCATTGGGTTCCGAGTGGAACATACCACTTCAGCAACACATCTCAACTTTCTTCTATCTTCTGCTGTTCTCTTCATCTGGCTATAGCTTCACGATTGCCCATAATCTCTCATCTCCCCTTCCTCGTCACACGATCTCCTACATGTCACCCTCTCACTGACGACCCACTAATCGTTTTCCACTGGGATTCCACTCGATAGATGGCCTGCATTGTAAGCGATATCACTCGACGACCTCATTAACTCATGTCCGATCCATATCCATTTCCATTTTACATGTTTGTTAAGCAATCTGCTCTCGCTCTTTTGGTTTGTTCCCAGTGAGAGTTTCTTGTTGCTAATTCTTTCTTACTGGTCATTTGATCTTTAGTATGGAGTATGTGGCAGGTATTAACAGAAGTCTGTAACTGGTTGGAAGTCTTTTCCGTGACACCTTAGGCAAGTTTCTGACTCATATAGAAGAACTGACTGACTGACTGACTTCACATTTGTGTTGAACAGAACTTGAATCTTGTTGTTTAAAGTGACTGAGTGCAGAATATTTCTAAACCGATATGAGATTGATGAAGGTGTATCTTGCCTTTCCTTTTCTGACTAGCTTTGATATATTCATCTGTTTCGAGTGCCTGTGGGTGAAACAAAGCTGAGTGGCTAGATAAGTAAAGGAAGTAACCTCTGTTAAATCTCGCCCATTGATGGTGACTGGTGCTGGTTGTTGTTGTTGTTGCGATTCGTTGTTTATCTTCATCACTTTCATCTCAACCTTCTTTGTGTTTACCTGGAGTCCTGTCTTTGCTACCAGTCTCTTCTGCCATTTGGTTGGTTTTCGCCTGCAAGTAATCATCAAACACATATCACCTGCGCAATCCAGACCTCTTAAAGTATGCCTATCAGTATAGCACATTCCAGTTATCTCACTCCGCAGGATCTGGCACGTAATTCAGTCCACTCCAATTAGGAATATCATTGGTGATAACAGGCAGATAGCCTTCTCTTACTCTTGTATTCACTTCGAACGTCTCAGAAAGAATTAGTAACAAGAAAATTCTGCGAACGAACCAACCAAGAAACTGTTTTTCAACAAATATTCTGAAGAAAATGGAGGTGGATCGGACACACACACTGTGGGGACTGTTGAATGACATCGGACGCCAGGCTGGTGCAAATCACACAGTACTAAAACTGAGTTTCATTTTACCTTCTAGGTCGTATTTGTGTTAAGTAAACCTGGCTGAAATATACATAAAAGCATCGTCCTGGCTAGTTTTAAAGCCTGCAAACGTGAAAGACAATGGAGGCTAAAGTAATAATAACAATCTTTGAGGTCAGTGACCGATTATCCTAATTGCACATTAAATTGAAGAGTATGAAGGTCACATCTTCCCCTTTATCACGAACCGATTAGGATAATACAAGGGTATAAATCTATAAACCTGTAGAAAATCGCATCTGAAAAAGACTTTTTATTTTCCATATATTTCTGTTGTTCTCATATTACTAGTATTATTCTCTCAGGTTCCAAGTGGAACATCTAGCTGCAGCAGCATATCTTCAGTTAACCCTGTTCTTTGCAGTCCTCTTTAGCCGGCTTCACAACTGCTCATAAGCTTTTATCTCCTCGTTACATAATCTCCCTCATGTCACCCTTGGACACCAAACTCGTCGATTACCATCCGGATTCCAGTCGATCTCTGCCCCGCCACACGATGACACTCAGCGGATTCCCTGAGCATGTGCCCTATCCATCTTCAATTTCTCCTACATATTTCTTGAACGATAGGTTCTATGGTTAGTATTATTCCCAGAATTTTCTTGTTGCTAATTATTTCTGGCCATTTAGCGTTCAGCTGATGATGAATGTCTGTAGCCTGTGAGGAATACTTTTGGTGGCCCGCCGAGTTTCTGACCCATATAGAAGAATCAACCTTATATTGTTATTGAAGATCCGAATTTTTTGTTGTTTATGCTGAGTGCAGAAGATTTCCATACGGATTTCAGAATGATGAAGTTCTGTTTTGTCTTTCCGATCCTGTCTGATTTTGACATCGTGATCCATGCCGCTTGCCCGTAGTTGAAACGATGCCACCTAGATAAGCGAAGGAACTGACCTCTTTCAAATTTATTCTTTCTTTTCTGACTATTTTATGATTTTATTCACTTTTGATCAGTATAAAGGCTTGAAATGCTCCCCTTTTAAGAGATCTTTTAGGTTATTGTATTCATCTGTCTGTACTTATCCTCATTATTATTATTTCTTTTAATTCTTATAGGAACATAGGGCTTCAGCCGCACGTCTCCATTGCATTCGGTTCTCTGCTAACGTTTTCCCCTGGCCCCACGTCTGCCCACATGCTTTCATCTCCTACTCACATGACCTCCTCCAAGTCACCTCACCGTGGGACGCCCAACTCACCGCTTCCCTTTCGGGTTCCACTCGAGATGATGTCACTTGATGGTTTCCTCAGACTATGGTCAGCCAATCCATCTCCATTTCTTCCTGCCTATTTGTTTCGCAATCGGTTCCTGATTGGTTCGCCCATTGCCAGAGATCCCTGTCGCTGATCTTTGCCGACTGGCCATCTGATCTTGAGTATTGAGCGAAGACAGCTGTTAATGAAGGTCTGAAGTTTGTTTGAGATGCTCTTTATGACGCGCCAAGTCTCTGATCCGAATAGTAAGTAGCACTGACTGGCTTCACATTGGAGTTGAAAATCCGGATCTTATTTTCATTTTCCTGCTGAGTGGTTCTGTTGACCTCCACACAGACTTAAGGGTGATGAAAGCTTGTCTTGCTTATCCGATCCTCGTTGATTTGATATCCTCGTCAGTTCCGCTGGCCTGTAGTTGAAACGATGCTTCCCAGGTATGTGGGTAGGTAAAGGAGGTTGTTTCTTTCAGGTTCCTCCCATTTATGCTGATTGTTGTCCGTTGTTGTTGATGTTGCTGTTGGTGTTGGTCAGGAATCTTCATCACCTCTTTTTTCTCCTATATGTTCACCTGAAGTCCTATCTCTGATGCTTGTTCTGCCAGCTTGTTGATTTTCACTTGCATATCTTCCTGTTTGTGGGAAATCAGACGTATATCAACGGTGAAGTTCAGATCCTCCAAGGTTTTTGTGTGAGTCCATTTTATGCCTGTTTCCTCATTGGCCGTTGTCTGTCGCATTATCCAATCTACTGCAATCAGGAAGATCATTGGCGATACTAGGCAGCCAGCTTGCCTTACTCCCGTCCTAACTTCGAAGGCTTCCGTAAGTTTCCCGCTGTGGATTATTTGGCATGCAGCATTGTCGTATAACTGTTGGATGAGATGTGTAATTGTCGATGTGACCCCGTAGTAGCGAAGTAGTTACCAAATCACCTCTCGATCGACACGGTCAAAAGCCTTTTCAAATTCGATGAAGTTGAGATAGAAAGGTGACTGCCTCTCTATCCTTAAGGCCAACTAATTTAGATTACTCTTCCGGTAAGAGAAGGTATGATTACATGAGGATGTATGGTCTCTAAAATAGTTGACATACGTTTACTGGTTCCATGTTATGCGGATCATTCATTTTTTAATAAGGCATACTTCACCTCTTTCGTGCTAAGAATCTATGGTGCACATGTATTACTGTCTTATTCTTTAAGATTCTTCATTCCATCAGTTTCTCGTATCACTAGTTGAACTGTCGTCCAAGAATTTCACACGTTTCTTCGCAGGTGGTTACCCACAATTATGACGTAAACCTATCAAAACTTTATCTCTACAATTCACTCTATGTTTGGAAATATCTTAATAATAATACTACTAATAATAATCTATTCAAGTGTTGGTTTTTAGGGATTTGATTGGTTACAGGATTTCATCATGAACTGACATCAATTAGAGAACCATTGGAAAACCTGCAGGGAGTACTGGACAGCTGTTTCGTCCCAATTTGGACTCCTTGGCAGTACGCACCCACCACTAGGGTTTGAACCCAGGACCTTCTGGTTACAAAGCTAGGGGTTGCGCTATGCCATGAGTTGACAGAATTTAGAATTCATTGGCCATTGGATAGGGTCCCAGTGGCTTAATGGTATTCGCGCTCGCCTTGTAGCCAGAGGGTCCTGAGTTGGAGTCCCGGTGGGTGCGTTCTTCTGGAGAGTCCCAAACTAGGACGAAACAGCTGTGCAGTACTCTCAGGTTTCCCACTGGCTCTCTAACTGATGTCAGCTCATGATGAAATCCAATAATAATCTGCTTTATTCCAAAAGCAGTACTTATAATACAGAATAGAATTCACAGCATTTGTCACAATATTGCATCTGATTTACTTAAAATATAAGTAAAATTAAAAATTGAAACAAAATTAACCAGAGGAATTTGTCCACATTTAAGGTATAAAGTCAAAAATATTCGTCTTAGACCAAAAAGATTTACATGGATTGTAAGGTTATTATGCATACATAAATCCTGATAGGTTGAACTTACATTCACAAAACTAGCGTTAATATAATCGCCGGATCCCTGTTTTAGTACAACACGCGTTTGGTCGTCTATTAAAAAAAGAAACACAGATAAATGTTCATTATGATAAAACCATAAGAGTTTATGAATAATTCATTCATTAAAAAAAAAAAATACCAATGCTGTGAAAACGGAACTAACACGTCTCTTCAGTTGTCCAGTACTCCCTGCTTGTTTTCAATATTTCTCTAACTGATATCACTTCCTAGGCAAATCGGAAAAACAGCTCAAATTCTTATCAATCAATCAATCCTTTCGAGTTTAGTTACAGTTATCAGCAATAAATATGTACAGCCTAATGAAACAGACGCTACCGTATAGACTGTAACAAATTATTGCTCTTCAAGCGAAAAAAATAGTGTCTCTGCAAGTGTAACAGAAATCAGATAACCACTTCAGTCGATAAACAATCATCAGATCAGTTGGAAAGATGTTTTTGTTACAGACATATTACAGTCAGTTGTTACTGAAAAATAACTAAAGTGATACAATTTCAGCGTAACGTCTGATTCAGTTAGAATATTTTATGACTTAAATGAGACATAAAAATGTACGCTTTTGTAATTTTTATTATTGTTATTATCAGTGTCAAGAAATGTAACCAAAAGGAGAGGGAAGAATGAAAATATATTCGAATTCGGGATAGATCTATGTCTATTATCCAAGTCCCACAAAATCGAAGACTTACAAGCGAAAACCGACAAACTGATCGAAGAAGCAGCCAGCGAAGACAGAACTGCAGGTGAACAAGACGGAGGTTATGAAAATAACTAACCAACCAATCAACAACAACATCCAGCGCCAATCACCATCAAAGGGAGGGATTTGAAAGAGGTGACTTCATTCACCTATCTAGGGAGCATTGTCTCAACTAAAGGAAGTCGGAACGGACGAGGATGTCAAATCCAGCGAGAATCGGGAAGGCAGGCGACAAACATATTCATCAACCTGAAACCAATCTGGGAATCTTCGTCACTCACCCAGCATCAACAACAAAATCCAGTCGGATTTTCAATACAAACGTCAAGTCAGTCAGTTCTTCAATATGGATCAGAAACTTGGCAGGCGGGTCACAAAGAATATTTCCAACAGCCTGTTGCAGACCTTTATCAACCAACAACTGTCTTCGCTGGCTCCATACTGAAGATCAGATGGCCGGGCCGGAAAGAATCATCGACAAGAAACTATGGGAACAAACAAAACAAGAACCAATCGCCAAACAACAAATATGCAGGAGAAAGTGGAGATGGACTGGACACTCGCTGAGGAGACCGCTGGGTGATATCGCGCGCCAAGCCCTCGAGTGGGATCCGAAAGGGAAGCGGCGTGTGGGACGTCAGTGCAAGGTGACATGGAGGAGATGGTGTGAAGAGGAGTTGAAAGAGTATGCACTAACATGGATGCGGGCGAAAAGTACAGCAGAAGACAGAAGCAAGTGGAGACGTGCAGTTGAAGCCCTATGTTCCACTAGGAACCCAAGGGAACAATAATAATAATATGTATATTACTTTTGGAATGCTTCTATTCACAATTTAAATTTATTTACTATTCTTTTAGTGGCTTTTGTTCATGAGTCAGACTGGTTAATTAACCATGATACTTATTTGATATTTATCAGTTGAAACAAAAAAAAGAAACACGGTGAGAGTGTGAAATAGTTTTGTATCAAAATGTGTAACTTTTCATGAACTGTTAGATTTGTTAAATAAGATGTATCAATCGGTAAATGAAGCGGAGAAATTAAACAAGTAGAAGAACTAAGTGGGGTATTCATACATGAGTTTTGGATGTCAGGAATCACATTCGATTACTAGGTGACATCTCTGTTAGAGAATCACTGAAAGACCTGGGACTATAAATGGACAGCGGTTTCGTCTCAGTTTGGTACTCACCGGCAGTATGTATCCACTGGGGTTCGAACTCATGACCTCCTTGTTACAAGGGGAGGTCGTAGACCAATTAGTCACTGGGGTATGATTCTATTCCACGAATTTCAACTTCTACCAGTTAGTGATATATATAATGCAACCACCAGACAGTCATTGACCTCTTACCTGACTTGGTCGACCCCGATAGTAGCAACTTCCTCACTAGAGTTTTACATTAGTCAGCTGTTTATTTTTGGTAGTTCAATAAGAATGATATAAAGAATTTGTGTGTAGAGGGCATAAAAGCTTTGTATGCTAACGGAAATGTGTAGGCAGCTATTACTTTCTGGTTACGCACACCATATAAGTTGATTTTTTCTCGAAATATCTCAAACAGAAATAGAACTAATGATGCGTGACGACATGACTCTGAGATTTTCAGTACAGCGTAAGACATTTACACCTAAAAAAGTAATTGATTAAGTCTAGTCACTATCCAAGCTGTCTTTCTGGCCTGGTGTAACCAGCAGGAATATACATCCTAGCCAGCATAGATTATTGGCTCACTGCAAGATACAAACCTGGTAACTGTACCAAGGTAGCAGCTTTCGGTTAGATTAAGAGTGATGCCTTTTTACTAAAATTAGTATAATCCTATGACATTAAACTACAGTAGTGCTATATGGAAAATCGACACAATTCAGAACTCATTGATTATTGAATTCTAACTTAGTGGTTGGATTGTGATGTGCTCACCTAGTAATTTGAGGTGTCTTAGGTTTGATTCCAGGTGAAGCTATAGTTGAGTACCCTTGAAGAATCCCTAACCAGAGTGAAACAACTATCTTTTGCTCCCTAGCTTTCAATGATTCTCCGAAGGATTTCTATTCGTAACGAAATCTACCCTGAAATATCAGTGAACTTTTAGATTCTAAGGGAAGTAATTGTTTCAATTCCATCACTATCGGTCATTTGACCTTCAGAGGTAAATCAAGTTGTTTGTAGAGAAGTCTTTTCATTTAATACATGAAATATTTAAAAAAAAGTAACTCGAGTTATATATATATATATATATATATATATATATATATAACTGTTCAGTTAGGACGAGCACTTTCGAAAAGATCTAAACATGTGAATACAAGCTTGTGAAAAGTAACCGTGTTGATGACTAGTTCAAATCAGCTGTCTACCGGCTGACAATTTGGAGTTCATTTTATTCAAGAAAATTATCTCTAGTATGAATTTGAAGAATTGAAGTAAAGCCTTTCATTGAAAGCAGTCAGTAGGGTGTATTTTGCAGCGTGAAGAAAACTGTAACATACTTCATCAGCAGTCAGTAACTCTATTGTCTACTTTTGGAACTTTACCAATAGACAAGTGGAATAAATAACTAAGTCGACTTGAAAATGTTTTGAACTTCTGATTAAGATTATACATTCTTCTACTGTGCATATTTCAACTAGCTCGTAAACGGCTTATAAGTGGGTAATTACAAGCACAATGACGTTGAATATTCTGACTTTCTTGAAAACTGATCCAAGATAATTCGGCCAACACTTAAAGTTATAAAGTATGACATTTTCACTAATCAGTCAGCATACACACAGTGTTGTGTTTCAAGTACAACGATAGAAGATCAGAGACTTCGTTAAGGAATTCTCGCTTGGAATTTGGTATCTCTATGTAGCTAGTGCCGAAAAGAATCACCAACAAGAAACTATGGGAACAAATAAAACAAGAACCAATCGCCAAACAACAAATATGCAGGAGAAAGTGGAGATGGATTGGACACTCACTGAGGAGACCGCTGGGTGACATCGCGCGCGCATCAGGCCATTGCTCGAGTGGGATCCGAAAGGGAAGCGGCGTGTGGGACGTCCAAGGGTGACATGGAGGAGATGGTGTGAAGAGGAGTTGAAAGAGTATGCACTAACATGGATGCGGGCGAAAAGTACAGCAGAAGACAGAAGCAAGTGGAGACGTGCAGTTGAAGCCCTATGTTCCACTAGGAACCCAAGGGAACAATAATAATAATATGTATATTACTTTTGGAATGCTTCTATTCACAATTTAAATTTATTTACTATTCTTTTAGTGGCTTTTGTTCATGAGTCAGACTGGTTAATTAACCATGATACTTATTTGATATTTATCAGTTGAAGCAAAAAAAAGAAACACGGTGAGAGTGTGAAATAGTTTTGTATCAAAATGTGTAACTTTTCATGAACTGTTAGATTTGTTAAATAAGATGTATCAATCGGTAAATGAAGCGGAGAAATTAAACAAGTAGAAGAACTAAGTGGGGTATTCATACATGAGTTTTGGATGTCAGGAATCACATTCGATTACTAGGTGACATCTCTGTTAGAGAATCACTGAAAGACCTGGGACTATAAATGGACAGCGGTTTCGTCTCAGTTTGGTACTCACCGGCAGTATGTATCCACTGGGGTTCGAACTCATGACCTCCTTGTTACAAGGGGAGGTCGTAGACCAATTAGTCACTGGGGTATGATTCTATTCCACGAATTTCAACTTCTACCAGTTAGTGATATATATAATGCAACCACCAGACAGTCATTGACCTCTTACCTGACTTGGTCGACCCCGATAGTAGCAACTTCCTCACTAGAGTTTTACATTAGTCAGCTGTTTATTTTTGGTAGTTCAATAAGAATGATATAAAGAATTTGTGTGTAGAGGGCATAAAAGCTTTGTATGCTAACGGAAATGTGTAGGCAGCTATTACTTTCTGGTTACGCACACCATATAAGTTGATTTTTTCTCGAAATATCTCAAACAGAAATAGAACTAATGATGCGTGACGACATGACTCTGAGATTTTCAGTACAGCGTAAGACATTTACACCTAAAAAAGTAATTGATTAAGTCTAGTCACTATCCAAGCTGTCTTTCTGGCCTGGTGTAACCAGCAGGAATATACATCCTAGCCAGCATAGATTATTGGCTCACTGCAAGATACAAACCTGGTAACTGTACCAAGGTAGCAGCTTTCGGTTAGATTAAGAGTGATGCCTTTTTACTAAAATTAGTATAATCCTATGACATTAAACTACAGTAGTGCTATATGGAAAATCGACACAATTCAGAACTCATTGATTATTGAATTCTAACTTAGTGGTTGGATTGTGATGTGC